AATTGTCTTCAAGAGCAAATACAATTTCCTCTCACTAATCATAACTTGTAAAGTTTGCTATGTTGTTTAACCACTAAAACTTTGGCTATGCAAGGTGTTTCACTGGGATAAGAAGACTTAATGCACTCTAAAAGCTCAGAGCAATCTCTAGGAACACAGATTCAGAAGCTGCTGCAAGGCTCTCAGAAGTATTTGTGAAGACCCTTTTTACAAAAGCTTGAAATTCTTGTGTAATATTTGTAGCACTAATATAATACTTTTCTAATGTGGAAAATTATGCTTTATATTCTGAACAAAAATATAAACGCAACACTTTTGTTTTTGCTCACATTTTCCATGAGCTGAACTCAAAGATCTAAGACTTTTTATATGTACACAAAAGGCCCTTTTCTCTCAAATATCGTTCACAAATTTGTGTATTAATGAGCACTTCTCCTTTGCCGAGATAATCCATCCATCTCATAGGTGTGACATATCAAGATGCTGATGAGACAGCATTTGCACAGGTGTGTCTTAGGCTGACCACAATAAAAGGCCACTCTAAATTGTGCAGTTTTCCTGTATTTGGGGAGTCTGGTGTGACCAGAAAAATTAGTTGGCATTTGGTGTGACCAACATTTGCCTCACACAGTGCAGCACATCTCCTTTGCATAGATTTGATCAGGTTGTTGATTGCGACCCGTGGGATGTTGGTCAATGTCTCCTCAATGGCTGTGCAAAGTTGCTGGATATTGTCAGGAACTGGAACTCACTGACATATATGATCCAGAGCATCCCAAACATGCTCAATGGGTGACATGTCTGGCGATTATGCTGGTCATGCAAGAACTGGGATGTTTTCAGCGTCCGGGAATTGTGTACAGATCCTTGCAACATGGGGTCATGCATTATCATGCTACAACATGAGGTGATGGTCATGAATAAATGGCACAATGAGCCTCAGGATCTCATCACTATCTCTGTGCATTCAATATGCCATCTATAAACTGCACCCGTTTATTGTCCATAACATACTTCTGGCCATATATGGGCCACTTGATTGACAACGTTGACATCAGCAAACTACTCACCCACACAAGCCCATACATGCAGTCTGCTATCTACCTTGTACATTGAAAACCAGGATCCATCCGTGAAGAGAACACCTGTTTAACATACTACATACGCCATTGCATGTGAGCATTCACCTGCCAAAACTCTATTCAGAAAATTATTTGGTTATGCAAACAGATGGTTTCAGCAGTCTAGGTGGCTGTTCACAGACGATCTTGAAGATGAAGATGTTGGATGTGGAGGTCCTGAGCTGGTGTGATTACACGTAGACTGCAGTTGTGAGGCTGGTTGGATGTACTTCAAATTATCTGAAATACCTTTGGAGACAGCTGTGGTTGATAAATGAACATTCAGTTCACAGGCAACAGCTCTGGTGGCCATTCTTGCAGTCAGCATGCCAACTGCATGCTCCTTCAAAACTTGTGACATATGTGGCATTGTGCTGTGTGATAACACTGCACATTTTAGAGTGGCCTTTTGTTGTGGTCAGCCTAAGGCACACCTGTGCAATAATCATGCTGTTTAATCAGCATCATTATATGCCACACCTGCAAGGTAGATGGATTATCTCAGCAAAGGAGAAGTGCTCACTAACGCAGAATTACACAAATTTATGATCAATATTTAAGAGAAAAATGCCTTTAGCATACATAGAAAAGTCTTAGATCTTTGACTTCAGCTCATGAAAAATGGGAGCAAAAACAATTCTGTTGCTTGTATTTTGTTTAGTGTATAATATTTCCTCAACAGTCAAAAAATAAAAATATGGTTTCCATAGTATTATTTTATCATCTTTTTTTAATCCGGGGTTTTACTATGCAGCAGTTGTTCCCCATTACAAAGAGAAGAGGGGGATTTGGAAATACCCTCCATCCGTCCATGCATGTTGTGACCATGATAACTTGAAAAATTAAGTGAGGTACCAAATTCCAATTTTGTATGTGGGTGCATCTAAGTGTAAGAAAGGTTCAGTTCAAAAATCGGGTTGCCATGTCATGTAACACGTTACCGCGTCATATGTCCAACCCTTTTTTAAGCTAGATAACTTGAAAAATAAGCAACGTGCCGATTTCAATCTTGGTATGTGACTCCATCGGTTTAAGAAAGGTTAGTATTGGAAATTGGGTTGCCACATCAAAATCCTAGACGGTTGCTGCCATATAAGCTGACCTCCCCTATCATTTGAGGAAAGTATGCTTTCTAGTTTTTACATTGCTTAAAAGTATAGCTCCGTCAAATACTTGTATCCACAGATTAATCTATGGTAACCAAGTTTGTCATTGGCCACCCCTTTGTTCCTCCAATGTTATCCACCTGGTGGTGAATAAAATTGCTCCCTTCACCAGGATTCGTCACTCTTTGCTGCCTCAAACAAGAACAAACAAACAAACAAAAAATACCACTTTCTTTCACCTAAAACATTAAGGTTTATTTGCATTCGTGTTTTATTTCCAGTCCAGAAAAACTCTTATCTTGAAAACTACAAAAAAATCACTATTCAAATGCCTCAGCGACAGGGCACATTGGCGTACTGTTGTTAAACGAAAGTTTCACTGAGTTAAATTTTTATTTTATTTTATTCCATATCTGGCATGGCTTCTTCAAATACCTTATAATTGCCTTGATCACAAGTTATCTCAGTAATAAAAACAACTGCATTTAGTAAATTAAGCACATTTAGATTAAAAGCTGTATTTTTAACAATAAAATGACCGCAGTGCTGTTTCATACCCTGGTTTCTCCTCTCAGTTCATATGTAGCTACAGTTACTTGAAAAATATGGTTTGTTTCTTACTTTATAAAACCAATAATTCACTAAATTATTCTATAGTGTAGATCTGTAGATCTAAGTGTAGATCTATGTTATTCTGGCATAACTGTTCTTCAGGGTGTGGTTGTGAGTGTGCGTGTCTGAGCTGTAGGACCACCCACTTCATGCAAACACTTACTCTTTTAAATACATTTTCTTAATACCCTTTCTCTATGTATAATAATTCAATAACTTTACTTTTATTAAAATAAATAAAACAATTAATTGTTGGGCTTCCAACAAAGTACAATACTTTTTAGTTGATACTTGGCTGTTCAAGTTTGAATGTGAATCTTTAGATCGTCTGAAGACTCAGATCTGATTTATATGATTTGGGTTTGATGTTTTATACAGATGTTGTGTCTGGAGACATTTCAGTTTTTCCAGAGGGGTTTGGTAATTTCATTGTTTTGTTTTTGTAACATTTTATGGCCCATCCACTTTTAAAAAATCAGATTCAGTTGTAAATTAATTTCTGGTTACATCACTGCTTTACTGTAACCAAATTAGTTTTAATTGTTTTGAATTGCGTCTTTGATTCCGGTTTCCTCTGAAGTTGTTTTAATGCAAAATTTACCGTTTCACACGTGAAAGTTTTCATCAGTTTTCAGCGGCCCCATTCATGGTGACGTTCTTTCAAAAGTCTGATGGACTGCTGACCTGATGCAACTCCATGAAAGTAACTTGGTGTCCACTGGAATGTTTTCTTGCTGCTTCAGTTCTCATAAAATTACAAACTGGGAAAACAGCATCCAAACTCTCAGAATGTATCATTTACAGAAAATCTCATTCTCATTTTGCTGCATCAGAGCTCCAGATCAGCCCTGTCTGTTCTTTTACTCCTGCTTGTCTTTGGCTGGGTTGTGTTCTGAAGGTTTAGAGTGAATTCACTTTGTTTTGGTTGTTGAACATTTCAAATGTACATAGTATTTGTCATTAAATGTGAAATTTTCAGTAGTTTTAGTAGAAATTCAGAGAGCTTAACAGCTTTAATTTGTGTAATTTTACTCAGCAGAAATTTGCTGACAGACTATAAGCTTACAGATAAATTATAGTATGTTTCTTTTATTTCTCTGATGGTGCATAATTGAATGATGGTGGTTTTGTTCAAATTAAAATACATATATACCACAAGAATTTTGCTTTGTCTCTGTCGCAGCATGTTAATAGAATAAAGATATAGCATAAATTGCTAAATGTTTTTACAATTTTTCAGAAACTGTAAAAGTGTTGATGATTCTGTCAAATCAGGTGAATGAATAACTGAGACTGAATCACAAGTTGTGTGGTGGCATCGTAACACAGGGTGCCGAGTCTTGTTTGGAGGTGTCTGAACAGATCACCCCAGTCATTTATTAATAGCTGGTTTGAGCAAATTGTGTGTGTGTGTGTGTGCATGTATGTATGTAATATAATAGATTATCTAAATGATCCAATTATTTATTTTGTTAACATCTAACCTGCATATCTTTTGTCTCTAGTTGCTTTCTTTTATACACCATTACTGTTTTTTTAATTTATCTAACCTTCATTTAATCTTTTGTCAGCTATAAAAATAATTCTGTTTATTTATCTTGCAATGATGTGGACGTTTGTTGTGGTCAGACTACCTTTAGGTCTGTTTGATGCAGCTTAATTGATTATTATTATTATTATTTTCATTTACCCTTTATTTATACAGGTAGTCTCATTGAGCCACGAGAACTCATTTTCAAGAGAGACTTTTAGGGAGCAGATGGGGATTAAGGGCCCTGCTCATGGGCCCAGAGTGGGGCAAACGAGGGTGGGGGCAGGTGTGGGTGCTTCACCTACCCCATCCACATTTTCGATGTTGTCGGTACTGGGGCTTAAACCGGCGATCTTCCGATCACAGGCCCACCTCTCTAACCTCTGCGCCACCACTTCCCCATTAAGATTATGTCTCCTTGTTAAGACATTCCAGATACTTATTATAAGCCAGTGGTTTATTAATTTCCTGGTTAAGTCCAACACTTGAAAAGATAATAAACTACAATCTGATAGGGATTTGTACATTTTCCTTTTATGTTTGTCACTTTTTAATTATCATTTTATCTTTTATTTTGCTGAAATAACAGGGCTGTAAATGTTTTAAAACTGTATCTCATTCTGTTTTCAGGCAGTTTCAGCTCTGACAGACCTGCTGAGGGAAAATCTCAGGAATAATAAACTGAAGCAGTTTGTGCTGCCACCGCTTGGGGAGCTTCTCTACCTCATTTCATCTCAGGTACGCTGCATGCTAGAAGCCGGTATTAAGAGACAGGGTAGATTATTTAGTTAGGTTTATTGTCCTAAAAAAAGTCTAAATCACATTTCTAACCAAAATTTTTTGTCAATATACATGAATAACTCCAAACAGACAATGAGTCAAATCAGATGATTTCGACATGGAAGAAACAATATACTGGTTTATATGGTCTGTCTGGTGAAAGAATTAGTATCAGCATACCACTTGAATAGTTTGTGTGGCAGCAGTTGATTTTTTATTACAGTAATCTCTTTGTTCTGATCAATAAAAAATGCACATTGCTTACATAGTTATGTATAAATATTTTGACATAACATGGGAACTGTATTCTATTTTTCAGGAAAATACACTGAAAATTATTTAAAAATAAGGGGCGGCGCTTGTTTTAACTTTGACCACTTGTACAAATTAATTTGATCCCTCTGCATTGGAATCTCTCTCAGCTTTAACAAGAACATCACATGTAAAATATGTAATGTGTAGAAGCATAATTTTAAGGCCTGAAAAGACTCATGAGAAACCAGGCAAGAGGTATTATGGTGTAGTCTCTGTACGGCCGTCTGAAAACTTTCTCTTGTCCCACCCATAATTTATGATTCGCTCAAGATGATTTAGTAAAACTTGATACAAATATGCAACATCACTAGACATGGTGTTGCATACACTTTTCAACACCCCAGGTTCAAGGCCAAGGCCACAAATCAAGGTCAATTTTAAAGCAAGGTCTTTGCTTATCTGAAAATGACTCAGGATCATTTACTAAAACTTGATATACATTTGTACCACCACTATAATATTTTCATCATTCCAACTTTAAGGTCAATATCACAAGTTAAGGTCAAAGGTTATATGAGGTATTTGATGATTGCTGTACTGAATGTGGTTCTCTTGCTCCTAGATAATTGTTAAAATCTTGCCTTGCAAACCCAATATCTCACTCTGGCTTACCTTGTCTTGTGAGATGAGCATCTTGTTTACACCCCTTGCAGTCAGGCACACTTGTTCACTTTTAGATTTCTAACTATGATTTAAAACTATTTTTTGTCCCTCATTTAACTTCAGTAGTTAGTCTTGGTTGTATTACTTATAATTAACCTTAATTTCAATTAGATTCCAGATATAGGAATCAAAATAGAAATATTACCATACTTATGCAGTCTACTGTGCAATGGTATTATCCAAACAGGATTCTTATGGAGTCTTGAAATGTATGGGGAAGTATGAAACCAGGTTTAAGTATTTTCCAGGTCTGAATAAGTGGGAAAAAATAAAAATAAAAAAGAGAACAGAACATGGAATAAGAGACATCAAGGTTTATACTCAATAATCCAGGTAAAAAATCCAGACCTGACTGAACATTATTGGATTTTGTACCAGGATTATTGAGCATGAACCTTGATGTCTGTTGTTATGTTTATTGATTATTATTTTATTTTTATTTTTTTTCCCACTTATTCAGACCTGGAAA